CCCGCCCATGGGCGTGCAGTACGCGTATTAAGAATTAACAAACCTTTTGTTAAAATTTTAATCAAAAACTATAAAATAAAGTATATTTTCATGTAGTGATAATAAAATATAAACTTTATTGTTCCTTGCATCTTATTATTAAAACTATAAAACCGTAACAATGTAGAAGGTGTTATAAAAAAGCAGGTAATCCTCTTAGGAAGTGATTTTAATTGCTCAAAAACAACAACTTCTTGTGTGGGACCTATATCGAAATCTCATCAATTCGATCGGTCAAAAATCATCAATCGGTTAACAACAACAATCACAAATGTAACTGGCACAATTTTTTCAAAAATATATAATTTTCACAAAAATATACGCAAACATGCTCTACGCAATGCACAGGACATATAAATTAGACATTAAAAATATCTTACGTCAAAATCTAAGGCCTCATGCCGAAACCGCCGATGGGCGGGCCAAGATACTTTATTGAGATGCCGGGCCCGCCGGTGGGTGGACTGAATACCAGTATAAGGCGGCATTGGGGTAATGTTGTCATTTCTTAGGAAGGCAGTGCATGGGTAAAGAGCGTATGTGTAAAGGCGACTAAGGGCAACAACGTACGCAAGCAACGCGAGCCAAAGACACGCGTGGTATGCTTTTCTTATTTGTTTTAATGATTATTGAGGATAGATCTGGATGTTTATGCGCCACAGCATCCACTTACCAATACCATCACGTGAACTCGTATGTCACCTTATTCTATAAAAAAAATATATCAAAATACACAAATTAAAATACAATACTTACGACGTTACCCTTCTTCAGTCGGGCGTAAGACGAGTCGGCCAAAACGAAACAGACGCCAGAGATTTGCAAGTGGGTTGCTACCATGAAGCAAATACAGAGGTGTTGTAATTAGATTTCACTATGTAACAACCCGTGACAATTTGTGGGATGAGGGGATGTTAAGCCCCGCCCACTTTACTATCTACATCTACCGATAAATAGTAAAACTACTCGAATCGTTCCATATCGATGTTGCTATGTAGTTTAGCTACCTTGACAATAGATAGCGGCTTGTTCACAAAATAATTAAAAAATAATATTTTAACGATTATAAATTCTTTAGGACTGAATGCAAAACAAATTTCAACACCTTCGTATGATTATTTTACCAATACTGAGCTCTACGTACCTTTATATTTTTAGTTCATATGACACAAAGTGTCACCATCTAGTGTCGAATATATTTAATTATATTTGAAAGCAGACGCAGAGATTTTTCTAGAATTATTTTAATAAATTTGGTGTAAAATTACTTACAAATAAAACGTGATACCATCCATAGCATCAGAACGTCTATCTGAGTAGTTTTTACACGATAAAACACAACACATCATCCTTTTCTTCCTAATGCTACGAAAATACACCGATTTGCGATTTTCAACACATAAGCGCACAGGACGAATGCTGACAGTATAATAACTAAAGCCACGCCCACTATGATGACAACCTACTTAGAATCACAGTGCACAGTTGATTATGCCGTCTCATTTTTGTATTAATTTGCTTCATGTTTGCTACACTCGACGTACAAACGCATCTTCGGTTAAATATGTATGTTGTGAGATGTTTATATAGAAATATGTGTTACGGCGTTACGCGACGTAGATCCAATCTGATGTGGCTTAGCCCTAAGACCTAAGGTTGTCACTTATTAAACACGCCTGTGACTTGCTAAAAATCAACAGTGCAGTTTTTTTACACACTGTCACTAGAGCCTACATAGGCCTCTGCCATAGATTGCCGTAAAGTACAGTCCTGTTCCACCTGCATCCACCGATCACCTGGTGTTTCATCAGAACACCACTCCCTTTAGTGGGAGTTCACCCAACATTGCACTTTTTAGTATGAGGCTGCCACTTGAGAACCTTTCTTCCCTTACGATCGTCGGTTCTTCGACTTACATCACCGGCCCATTCTTGATTCCTCATACTGTTAAGACTGAATGATCATATTTCAGTTCCATAAGCCATCGCTAGCACTGGTTGTACATTTTCGGCTTAAGATTTTGAGAAATATCTAACAAAGAATTGTCGCATTTTACCGCACGCAGCGCAGCCGATTCGAATTCGTCAGTTAACTTCTTACAGCTGTCCCTACTCCCTATTATATTATATTATATTCTACATTCTCCTCAAAATCTTCGAGAGTAACGTTCCCAAATCCCAACAACATTTCACACAGAAGTAACATGGGCGTTAGACTTGATTACATGTAGTTTTTTTGCTGGATTCTTACTCAATTCAGGAAGCCTTTTGTGATATAACACATAATGCTTTTTAATGTAGTTTTTGTAGTGTAGTAGTTTTTTTTTAAAGTTACATCCATGATACTACTAACATGATTTACATTCATAAATTTCACAAAGACAAACATCCAGATCCGTTGCCAAGCCACTGTACTACGGAGCCGTCTATGTAATGTACTGTTACAAGTTTGGGGTTCGAGACAATTAAATGCCATCAAAAACATAACTTGTAAAAAAAGCCAAGTCTCGCAACTCAAGTTCTTCTACCGTAAAAAGTTGTGAGATCCATGTAATACCAAGTCGGCTAATTTATTCAGTCCCTACTTAAAGGTCCTTCTGTCTGAAGTTATTACGTAATTAGCTAACCTAACAACATCTTATAGTTACCACATCAATACTAAAAATCTTTTATATTTGAATTAAATAGATTGACTTGGCCATCGCATGAAAACACAATGTATCTCTCAAGTAATACATATTAATTGATAGAATCAGGCGTTACTTTGCGGAAATTCATTATAATGGGGTTGTTATAAACTAATTTGCTTAATTCCGCGTAAAGAAAGAAGATGATGTGTCCTGCCCAGTTTTAAGGGGACCTCCCACCCTCCCTCAATCGCGCGCACAATACCCGTCGCTGTTAATCCTAGCACTACCACCCCCAGCACCACCACACTAGGCACGACACACCACTCTCGAAATACGACACGTGTTTCGCCTCTACACGAGGCATCCTCAGGTGAAGTAGACTCTGCGGAGGCTGGCCGCTGGAGGCGTGCTGCTAGCAGTGCCTTAGAGTTTTGATGATCGGTCAGTCAGTGAGTGACAAAATTAAGAAACTAGTTATAGTTCTTAAACTACTAGTTCAAATTTAATGAAATTTGAAATATATCGAGTTTATACAATGCCTACTTGGTAAGTGAAAATTCAGGCTTCTAGTTTTATCCACAACGAAGTTATAGGGATTCGAAAATGGCCTGAACTGCTCCGAGAAATTACTTTAATATACACTTGAATTACCAAAATATACACTTGAATTACAGAACACTAATTACAACTTAAAACCAACTAATAATAAAACACAATAGTACTACTGTTCACTTTAATTTACAGTTGTATCACTTCGAAGTATTCGTTTATATCGCTAATTCAATACTGACTCGGTCGTGGTTTATACCGGCCTTATATAGGGTGTTACGGCCCCCAGCTGCCCCGGCAAAGGTCGCCTTGGCTAGGGCCCATAGTAGCCTCCTCGACGAGCAGCCGAGGGTTCGAAGAAGGAAGTCGAACTGCAGATCCACAGGCGCTGCTTCTCTCCAAATGTGAGATCCCTCCAGGAGGGCGTTCACCAATTGAAAACTTCTGCTTTTATTTCACTGTATTAGTTTATCACTTTATTGTACATTTAATTAACTTCAAAGTCAACCAAATCAAGTTCATCGAAATTAAAACAAGTGACACACGACACAAGTAAAGAACAGTCGTTCAAAGTTCAATATTCACTGTTCCGGGTTCACTTAGCACAAAATTACAACCACGGGAACGAACGCGGTCTCTTCTCGAGTCACAAAGTTCAGCGTTCTCTCAACAAAGCCAAATTATTTCGTACGATATTAAAGCCACACAAGACAAGCAATCAAAAAAGGCACTTAACGCGACGTTACAATTCAATATTAACTTTCAAAAACAATTAACCGGCTGATGCGCGGCAAATCTTTTCCATACTTTAAGACAAGCCTCGTTATAACGAAACGTACAAATTAAAACAACTCCATAGGAGGCACGCGCCCGGCCACCGCGCAATAATTCTTTCTAGACTTTTACAATACTGTCCGTCGCGCAACAATTATTGGCAATCAGTTAATTTAACCACTCAAAACTTAAATTAGGCCTCTTGTCACGTAACACTCAAAATAGATACTCAATTCGAGGCGGTCTTAACCGGACCCAAATATTCAATAATAAATTCAAACCGACGCCTACAATTATGGACACCAGCCGCGCCCGACCTACAAACGGTCCCAAACAATAGTCTAAACGGTTACAACAATAATTATATGAGATCAGCCTCGTTATCACGAAAAACAAATTAAGATAACGCCGTAGGAGGCGCGCGACCGACCGTCCCGCCACGACGCTTTTTCATACTAATCGGCAGCCGCGTCCTCGAATGGAATGCGAACGGGAGCGGGGGGTGGGGGCGACGGTGACCTTGGTGACCGTCGCGCGTCGTGAATGCAAATTTTTAGTGTTAATTATTTGGCCTAAACGTAGGGCCTCAGATAGGTTCCAGAACTTTCTACTGTAGAAACATCTAGAATGTTCGGGTACACATCGGTCCCAAAATTTCTAGAAGGATCTTGACTCGCCTAGTTCTGCTACTCGATACTAGAGGACGCTAGTGGTAACTGGTGTTGCCACTTACAAGCCATTAATAGTGGCGCGCAACAGTACTTTTAATAATATATTTTTATAATATCGCTTTGTATAAATGCTTTTATTTTTCTCCAGTAAGCCTTATGCCAAATGTCTCTGAATCTTCACTTATAAGAGGAAAAGTTGTCGGCTTTAAAACTACAATTCTATTTTTTTATCTCACGTCCAAAAAATTATGTAAAGTTATCTGTCTATTTTCCAAGATCTCAGAGATTAATACGTCTATTTTTCATTTACAAAATATAATAATGATATAACATCTTACTTTTCACCAAGTCCTGGACGAATTTCATACTTAGGGGGTGCAAGTGGCTTTTCTGTCTCAATAGGGCTGAGTCCCGTTACACTTTCCGTCCCACTATTAGCTACCACCTCTGCTTCTTCAGCAACTGAAAATTTATTACAGTTGCAATTAATTATCTTTATATATAAAAACTATGTGTCACATTGTTTGTCCGCAATGAACTCGCTAAACTACTGAACTGATTTCAATGAAATTATGCACAATGTGTTAATCTAATTAAAATAAAAAAACAATAAGTGACCTACAATATTTTTTATTACGAATTTAAGAATTTTTTTATAGGACAAAGGGTCGACGGAGAGGGCAGAACAACGTCTGCCTTGCTAACTAGTCTAGATATAAAATCATTAAACACAATACAAAACCATTATGGTAATTTACTTTGTTAAAAATGACATTGGTGGAAGACATTTTCGATATACTTAGTGGACCAATTAAATTTAACAATACAAATTTTAGCCTTCCATAACCTATACATGTAAAAAAAAACGCTCTCTTTAAAAGTTATTATAATTTTTTTCAGTTACCTTCATCATCATCTGCCATAGTAGATTAATATTCACACGTATTTACATAAGTCTCAGCCAATGCTTCTGAAAAACAAATTAACATCTTTCAATCATGCAAGACACATACAGAATGTACCATGTTGTATACTGCAATATGCTTAACTAAAACAGAACGCAGTATACTAAAAGAAAGTATAACACTTTATTCTGAGTGACAAGAACTTAGACATCCTTACTGACAATGTGCGTAATGATAACAAAAAAACCGGCCAAGTGCGAGTCGAACTCGCGCACTGAGGGTTCCGAACAAATCCGTAGGTATATAAGTTTAAAATTATTAAATATATTTTTAGTATATAATGTAACTAAAAGTTTATGCTTTTCGCAATTTTTCCTTTATCTGTGCTATAAAACGTTGCTTCGTACCAAATTTCAAGATTCTGAGTTCATGGGAAGTACCCTGTAGGTTTTGATTCCCATGCGAATGTCGAAAATTTGCTTCGAAAACTATTGGTAAATCCAATTGTGCATACCTTAAGCGCAATAAAAAAATTACGTATAACATGATTATATCTAAATGTTTTAAAGTAGTTTAAATACACACAAGTTTTCACTAATGAACTTTTATACTTCTAATTTTCCGATAATTTTATGTCAAACTTCAATTAATAAAAGTTTAGAAAATCCAAAAGTGCACGACCCATAATGCTCACGTGATAGTGAAAAAAATTTAAAAAACGTAAATTGTAGTTCTATTCGTCAAAAAGTTCCAGTAGCAGTCACCGAAATACAATTTCAAGTCACTCCGTCAAATCCGAAGGTAAGGTCTATTCATAACTAACAAAACGAGCTGAAACTCTACACATATAGTTCTCTTCATGGAGTTCATTCCAGTAGCAGTCATCAAAGTCCACTTTCAAGTCACTCTATCAAGTCTACAGTTAAGGTCTCATCACAAGAAACAAAATGAGCCCAAAATCGGCGCACCCATTCCTACTCGTCGAGGAGTTCCAGTGTATTAAAATTCCACACGCGCGTTTTTAACCTTGCGCCCCTCGGCATGTACCTAGTTTGCCTTAAAGATAATCAGCCACTGTTCGTAGTTAAGGTCTCATCATAGCTAATAAAACGCGCCCAAACTCAGCGCACCTATAACTATTACTACTCTTCAAGGAGTTCCAGTAGCAGATATCGAAGTACACCTTCAGGTCTCCATAAAGTCCAAGACATATAAGTATATTTATATATAAATCCTGCGTACTTTTAGCGAAAAAAATATTGTAATAAAAATCTGTGATTATAATTATAATAATAATATCTTACCTTGGTCAAATATGTATCAAATTTGGTTTTTGAAATATTTTGTAATTCTAAAGCGGTCGATATTTTTCGGCACGAACCGCTGTAAACAAACGATCACTCACGATGGCGGCTGAGCCCAGAGTAAAAAAGTACTCTGTGTCCGGGAGTGAGGCAAGTGTACTTAGTAAATTAATACAAGGCTGCTCAAAACACCGAAAATTTCGCTATTTCTCAGCCGAATAAAACAAACGAGCACACAGTCCACCTGATGGTAAGTGGTTGCTGTGGCCCATAGACATCTACATCTATCTTTGATTAAGAATCAAAATGCAGAAGCGTTGTCACCCGTGAGGACTAAGATGGAATGCCTCGTTTCCAGTAAAAAGGGTCTTCGGTTCTCTACACTGACCATACGAAACACAGCAGCATTAAGCTGCTATTTTACGCTGGTATTCTGTGAGAGCGTGGTCCTTCCCCGGTCGAGCCGACCCATTCGTGCTACAACCATAATATAGCTGCAGCGTGGCTCTACCACGTAAAAAACTAAGCAAAACAAAATTAAACTGTTATTTATATTCCATGGCTTCCCACATAAAAGATAAAAATTTAAAAGATTGAGTTGAACAATTGATATTTTCAAAAGTTATCGTCTTTACACCTCGTAGCGGACTTGATAAATCTACACCTTATGCCACTAAAACCGCTTTTTTATGTAAAAACAGCAATTGATTGCTTTAAAAAAAATATGATAAGTTCAACAATCATTTATCTTTCCGACAATGTGCGTTTTACATTATTGATATGTTCAATATGATTGTTAGATACGATTTTATGCAACAAAATGTTAGAAACTCGATTTTTAGGCGCTAGTAGAACATACCTACACGCTTTGCCTTAAGGCATGCAATTTTGTACATCCAATTTCAATATAAATTATTAAGAATAACTCAAAAACTATGGGTCACACCTTGATCAAATTTATATGTGACCACATGAGAAGCACCAGCTTTCAAATAAAAAAAGAATCATTCGGTTCACTCAGAAAAAATTTATGAGGTAACACACATAAAAAAAAACATACATTCGAATTAAGTGCTGTCTCCTTTTTGAAGTCAGTAGAAAAAGAGTGAATATCATTTTTGGAGATGATGGTCGATATGTGAATACAATACAAAGTAAAAACTTTACAACAACTTTAAAAGAGAATAAACTTAAAAGTCAACCTTTCTATATAATTTATGTTATGTCTAAAATTCGGTGATGCATGTCAATTCAAAAATTGTTCAAATGATCCCACATCAATAAAAGCTTAAAAACCACTGTGAAAGAGGCATTTGGATTCTGTCCATTAGTCTTGCTAAAACTCAAAAACTGCTCAAACAATATTGATGAAATTTTTTGTGTGTTCCCGGATGTTTTAGATTCCCAATTGGATCCGGTAAGTGGCACTGTTATCGAGATTCAGAAATCACCCATGCAAAGCCGGAGCAGAGTGCTAGTTCGGTATAAAAATTGGTTATTAAAAACATCTTTGTCTTGTATCTTCAATGACACATTCAATGTTGGTTTCTATGAAATGCAGTTGTTGCTAGCTATTAGGTAGATGCTTAGTTGTTTAGCTAACCCTTATATTTTTTTTAAGTATTTTTATAATATATATGTATAAATAACATTGAAGTACAAATAAATAAAAAGACACAGTCTGTAATCTAAATAACTGTCTTCTATTGAATTGGGAGAGTTATTTTGCATGCTATTTAATGCCTCTAAGTAATAATCTGTGTTGCCACCCCTGTGGACTAAGATAGAAAGCCTTGTTTCCAGACATAAGGTTCTGCGGTTCTCTACACTCACCATACGAAACACAGCAGCATTGAAATGCTATTTTATGCTGGTATTCTGTGAAAGCATGGTCCTTCCTCGGTTGAGCTGATCCATTTGTACTACAACCATAATGTAGCTGCAGCATGGCTTAACCATGATAAAATGTTATCAGTGAAAATTAGTTATTTCATCACAATTCCTTTTTTATTTGAAGTTCTACACTAACAAAGTCATGGGTCAAAAGTCTTTAAAAATCTATGTAATGTGATTATAGAAAACTTTTAACATTTGTTACAGGATACAGACATGATGTACAAACTTGGCCGCGCAGCAATGGAAGAAGGAAAATATGGTGAAGCAATAAAGAAATTTGTGGAAATTTTAAAGTTGTATGATGCTACACTTGCACCACCCTACAAATCATATTATGACTGCATTCAAGATATGAGACGTTGTATGCTGGCTTTGGGCAACTACAGCATTGTTTAAAAAGTAAACATTTGTTGTTTTACCAAGAAATGTTTATATATTAGAGATGTTTATATATATTTTAATTCTGAGTTAAAATACAGCATAATATGAAAATTTTATATGTGTAGTTATTGTTGTCTCTATATGAAAACATTAAACTATATAATTTTTGAATAAGAATAACTAACCTAATAAAAAGAAACTAAAATAAACTTAATTAAATAACAAACAAATAAAGAATATACTAAAAATAAGTGTAGTTCGCTTCTTACTTCAAATTTGATGGGAGTTAAATCTCAAGCTAATCCCAAAATATTTTACTGTGAATAGGTGAACTAGTGTCTAATAAATAAAATGGTTAAATTATTTTCCCCAAAAAATTACCGAATTCCGCATCCACCTTTCGCAGAGGATTTACACAAATGACCTAAGGTTACATCAGCATCCCATTTCCTTCACCCCCAAATACCACCACAAAATCGATTGTTGGTTTGTACGTGCCTTCCCTTTTTAATTTATAGCTTCTCAATTGATTTACAGTAAGAGAGATGAATAAATTACATGAAAATAGTTGGTTTCTATAAAAATAAAAGAAAACTTACGAGAAATCATGTTCATGTTCGTAATACTTACATTTAACCTATTAACTAACAAAAAATACCTTCAATCTTATTTTCATTAGCTAAAATTAATGATCAAAGATTATAATAATACACAGGCTTATGGTAGAAACTATATAAATCACTACGTTTTAATCAAGCTTCTTGATTTTGTTATTTTGTATTTTGAATTTGATTGGTGTTGTTGTTTTAATTATTCGCTCGAGAGAGCAGGCAAAGGAGCTATGCTATACAGCCTTGTCTTCATGTATAATTATCCTTCATAGTACACTGCTTCACAATATGTTGATGCGTCACATTGTGTAGCCGACGGTTGGCGATGGTATCTCAAGGCGCCTAAGCAGACAGATACCTTATTTTGAGAATCACATCACCATCAGAGCACCTGTTTCACAGTTTCCACTAATAGTTCACATGCTTAGATGGTTTCCTTTGCAATGTATGCATATCGCTTTATCTGAAGAGCCTTGGCAATCTTTGTGGCTGTGATTTTCAGTACAAATTGAGCATTTCACAGAATTTTTACAGTACTTTGCTAAGTGGCCATACCTCAGACAGTTGTAGCACTGCTTCACTGGTGGAATATACTGATTTACCACGAACCGCCAACCATGAAGATAGACGTAGTCCAGCATAACATTAGAAGCGAACGTGATGGCCACGGTGCCCGTCGGCTGCAACTGACTGCGTCCTGCGTCATTCTTATATTTCCTCATTATCCTTTTAACACATATTATCTTCCTGTAAGTCGTTAACATACCAAAAATTCTTGAATTAGAAAGATTAGTGGGAACATTAGTTATGACTCCTGTTATTTCTGTCCCTACAGCTAGATGCCTTCATTTTGTATTCATTAAAAATGTAACATTATTTAAAAATGCATTCGCTAGAGAGGGCTTTTCAAAATTAACGCCTATTTTGTATTTATTCATAGATTACAAACATTTAATGCCTTTATTGAACCTCTTCATATGTGTGTACAGAGACATCATTTCCCGCGTGCCAAATGGCTTTCTTTCATCATTTGATTCAACAAAGACTACAAAATCAACGAGGAAGTTTCTCCTCAGTCGTTTCTTCAGACTTCTTCTTCTCCCGGCAACTTTTTTCTACGTTTCCTCATGATGAGGAAACCCAGTAAAAATAAAACAATAAAAGTTTAGTGCCTTTTAACTAAACAAAACAAAATTAAAATTTTAGTTTAAAAAAAGGCGCCTATCACGTTTCAAGGTTCCCGCGCTTCTCAATTGTTCGAAGACGGAAGAATTCTTTTTTTTTAATAACTGGCTTTACGGCTCTGGAATCTAGCCCTTCTGAACCTGAAGTTACGTTATATTATAATTATCCTACATAGTACACTGCTTCATAATACGTTGATGCGTCACATTGTGTAGCCCTTGGGAGATTTTGACGGCAACTTGAGCCAGCAGACGGTTGGCGATGGTATCTCAAGGCGCCTAAGCAGACAAACACCTTATTTTGAGAATCACATCACCATCAGAACACCTGTTTCACAGTTTCCACTAATAGTTCACATGCGCAGACACGGCGACTGAAAAGTTTGTGGTAATTTTTAATAATCTGTAATTTTTAATAATAAATCATTTCTGGACAGTGTCCTGTTAAAAAACAAAAGATAAAAGAAAATCAGGCTAAATTACACTAAACCCCGTTTGTAGACCTTTTTAATAAAAACGAATACCCCGAATTAAAAAAAAAACCCTAAAGATGCTCTTATGTCACTACTAAAGTATGATGACATTATTAATATAATTTTAAATACAGTCATTAAAGTATTAACTCTTAATAAATCATATGAACAAACAGTTTGTTAAAGATGTTCTCATAGATACAATAAAACCAAAATTGATATTTCATTATTTAACATTTAATATTTTATAGATCAGTTTAAAATTTTACAATGGAATGCACAGGGTTTAATTAAAAATCACTTTCAATTTACACAATTTTTATATGAGAACATCATAGATGTTGCTCTCATATGTGAAATTTGGCTTAAACCTAAGCACAATTTTAGAGTAAAAGGTTATAATATTATACGATTAGATTCAGGTAATGATCATAATGGAGTGGCAATACTTCTACATAACTAAATTGGATTTCGTGTTATCAATACATTCTCTGATGACTCATTACAAAATATAGCTATACAAACACAATATAATGATAAATTATTAACTTTAGTTAGTGTTTACTGTCCCCCTAATTCACCAATTAATTATAATAAATCCAAATTAGATAATTTAATCCAAAGTTTGCCACAGCCAGTCTTTATAGCTGGTGATTTCAACGCCCATCACACGTTATGGGGATGTACTGAATTGGATTCACGAGGTAGGGATGTTCTTGCAAGTATAGATGACAACAATCTTGTAATCTTGAATGATGGTCAGATGACTATAGTAGGATCTCATAGATGGAGACAGAATGCATTAGACTTGACACTTGTTTCATCTTCACTGGCTCTGTCTGTCTTGTGAGTGGCAAGTATGTGATGATGATTCTCTAGGCAGCTATCATTTTCCTGTAAAGACAAAAATTACGGTCAATAATCAAAATTTTCAAGAAACAGCTGTATCAAATAACATAAACTTAAAATTGGTAGAATGGTCAAAATATCCAAATTTAATAGGTAATTTAATTAAAAATTATAGTTTTGATTATAGTATTCCTTTACAATGTTATACAAATTTAATAGAACTAGTTAAACAAGCCATGCATGAATCCACACCATCCAATCAGTCTTGTAATCGAAATGTTAACATCAACTTGCAATCTCTTAAAAGAAATAAAAAAAAATAGAGGCAGTATTAAATTGTAAAAAAGCATATTTAGTATTTAAGAATGATCCGACAGAACGAAATTATAATAATTTTAAAAGACTACAGATCTACTCCATTGACTACAGTATGGAATTACATTAAAAAGTTTAACAAAACTTTTATTCATAATAACACATTAGTCGTAGATTCTAATTGGGCTGATGAATTTTTGATAAAATATACTCCAGAAACAGATGAATCACCTCTAACTCCTCACTCCTCAAATGATAATCATTGTGATTATCTTACCAAACCTTTTTTTTACCTTTACCGAATTCAATTCAGCTGTTAACTCTAGAAAGGACACTACTTGTGGTTTAGATTCTGTTCCATATAAAGCTTTAAAAAATATGAATACTGCGTGTAGAGAACTAGTTTTGAAAATATATAATATGTTATGGTTTCATTCGATTATTCTTTACGATTGGAAAGAAGACTGTTTGATAGCTATTTTAAAGCCTGGAAAAATACCTCACATTGCAGAACCTTACAGACCTATAGCACTTACATCTTGTATGGGTAAAATATTTGAGCAACTTATAAAATCTAGATTATAATTTAATCTAAAAAAAAATGTCTTTTACCATCAAATCAGTTTGGATTCAGACGCTACGGCGTCATCTAGAGAAAGTATTGCATTTCTTCATTGAGACATCTTTAAAGCTATGGAAAATAATGAAGTATTAATTAGTATATTCTTTGACATTGTTGGTGCATTTAATAACGTTAATCTTCATGTACTCACCGCAGAGTTGAGGTCTTTGGGCATTCCTGAAAAAATTGTAAAATGGATATTTAACTTTTTACATGAAAGAAGAGTTTTCGCTAAAGTTATTAATAATAATACAATTATTGGTCCTAGGCTCAGTTATAAACGTGTTTGTCAAGGAGGAATATTAAGTCCTCTTGTCTTTATTTTATACATATTTAAATTAAATAATATTTTAGTATCAAATGTTAATAATTTACAATATGCAGATGATTTGGTCATATGTGCCTCAGGAACAAATGTCATAAACCTAGAAACCATTTTAAATGAGGCTTTTAAGAAATTGCATATTTACTTTTCACACTTAAATTTAGATATTAGTACTGAGAAAAGTAAAGTTGTAATATTTAATAAAATTCGTCCTTTTAACACTAAAATAATTTATAATAATACATTCTTACCATTAGAAAGTTGTGCAAAATTCTTAGGTGTAATTTTTACAAATAATTTATCTTGGACCAAATACGTGAATTTTATTTCAGACAGAGCTTCTGAGGCCTTTAATGTATTAAAAGGTTTGGCTAGTACTAACTGGGGAGCTGATCCAGAAATATTATTGATGTTATGATTGAGTTATATGTACTATGTTCTATGTTCTACTATGACTATGTTCAACTGAACTGTAGTGCAGTCCATACAAACTAAATATTGCGTAAATTGAAGATTTGTGAATTCCATAAAATAATTATTATTACATTTTATTTAGAAATATGTTTGTTTTATATTAAATTAAGATATTTTATATTGAATTCTTATATTTATTTTATATTAATATCTTATTTTGTAACAAATTAAAGTCTTCGCACATGCGCGACTACTATTACCGCGCATGCGCGAAGACATAAAGTAGGACACAATTTTTGTTTGGAATGGCTTCGCTAGTACGTAGTACATATAACTCAATGGATGTTATATAAGTCTTTGGTGAGGAGCCGTTTTGAGTATGGCTTCCTGTTTTGCATCAAATAAAAAAACTGGTAAACAAATTAGATATTATACAAAATAAGAATTTAAGACTTATTACTGGCTCTATGAGAACAACTCCTATTGTTTCTTTACAGGCTGAATGTCTTACTCCTCCTATCTTACTTAGGTTTAAATATCTGAAATTTAAGTTTTTATTAAATATTAATTATTTGTCTCATCATCCTCTTTTTCAAAAAGTATTATTTTACTATAATAGTATGTCTCCTATATCTTAGTCAGCCTCATATATACTCCATGACTTTCATGAAGTGATACGATATGATGAACAATATAATATTCACAAAAGCACACATACTTCACCTTGTTATAAGGGGAATTATGAAAGTAAATTCAGTGATATACACATAAATATTGATGAAAAATTGAAAAGAAAAGAAGAGGTTTATGAACTTATATCTACATATGATGAATATCGACAAATTTACACAGATGGTTCAAAAGTTGAAAATAAAGTAGCCTGTGCATTTTACACACCTCATCTGAAAACTGAAAGTGGCCTTTCCATTCCTGCATCAGCAAGCATATACACTGCAGAATGTTATGCTGTCTTAATCGCTCTTAAATATAAGTATC